AAAAAAAATCTGAATAATACCTGATGTAACCTTTCTATGCATTATTACACTAATAAAATATTGTTTTATTAGGGTAATAATTGACTTCTCATTTTGAGGCACTCTTTCTTCCTGCATATCGTACAAGTCAACTTTTCTTCTATCACAAAATTCCGGGAGCTATTCCTTGTTCTATTGAAATTTTCTGGCGCTAAGTGAGTCACTGATGAGGATTTCAAGTTCTTGCTTTGTTATGACAGGATTCTGCACCGGCAAGTAATAGATCAAATTAGCCTACTGCCCAAGGCAAAGAAGCAGGGATATCTGAAAGGAGGCCCAAGTTCCTTTAAAATGTTCTATGTGCTAAAACAAGGTTCTGAAAACTCGGGGGAACTGCAGATCATCTGACCCCACCTGGCGAAGGAGCCCAACAATCTGTGTGTTAACAAGTCCTATAGCTATTTCTAATTTGTGTTAAAGTTTCAAAACACACCCAAAAAACCCCATTTGTGTTAGTCTCATAGAAATAAATAAGGTATAGATACATTACTTTGATTTTCGGTGCTGTAAAATCATCTCTGCTTCCTTTCAAGGTAAACACCTCCTATGTCTCCTTATTTACACATCATCCATCAACGCAAGTGGAGATTATCAATACGCACAATGATTTTAGGAGGATGGTCAAACCCAGTGCTAAAAACATGCTAAAAATGGTAAGTCGCACCTAACCAGTGAATCACGGTCAGTCAGCATTCAGGCCTTTGATAATGGGCATTAAACCAGGAGTTTACTTATGTGTACACACAAGATAGCTCGGACAACTGTGCTGCTGGTTTCTGCAGGTCTATTCAAAGGAGGAGTTAATGCTTCTTTTTTTCTTTCTTTCTCCCTTTTAATTTTTATAAATTTTTTGACCAAGTTTGTATCCTTATATCTGGTAGCATGAACTACTAGTTTAAAGACAACAGTATGCAATTATAGCAATTATTGTTGAATTCCTACCATTTTGTTCAGTGAAATTCTCTTTCTTTCTTTCTTTCTTTCTTTCTTTCTTTCTTACTATTGTTCTCTTTAAAGAAATATCTTTTAAAGCAGACATTTTTTTCCATAATCTTATTGAGAAACAAATAGCAATGAGACAGTTACAAACCAAACTGGTAGGACAGTTTCAATAATTAACACATTGCAAACTCTCTTCCTAGTGGTTAATTGCTGTACAAGATGCGGCCATGATATACTATTTACAAACACCATTAGAACAAATCCCTCTATTCATTAAGAGAATGTAACTATATATCTATCCTAACCACTTTGAATACACAGATACAAAATGGACATTCATCTGTATCCCCTTTTTTGTTTAGTTCCGTATTTGAATATTATAAGTGTATTAACTCAGCAAAATATTCTAAAAGAGTCCAATAGTCCATAATACTATTGAGTCTTCCACTTCACTGGCAATGTCAGAAATCATTGACCTGAGTCCCCTACAGCTCAACATAACAGCATGGCTTTACTTCTTATACTTTGTTTTAATACTTTTCTGCTGGATGGTTAAGACCAAGATAAAGCAAGACCTATGCAACAAGAATTGTAGCTTTTTGGATCTCATAAGGTCAGTCAAATCCCCTCAGGACTTTTCCTGAGATCCTGTACCTCAGATTGTAGACCTTTTGTCAGTGTCAGCCATGTGGATGAGTCACGGCCATTGCTTGGCCAATATGCTCTCTGTGAAAGCCTGAGATAATGTTTTCTCTCCATGTGACTCTCCTTAGGCACACTCTACATCATCGATCACTTTCCTCTTTGGCCCCGTAATCTCCTTGATGAGAAAATTTGGGACACTACTGAGTTACCTGATGTTACAGTACAAGTTCTCATATATCCTGAGTCTTAATTGACCTTGGAAGGCTAGGGCCAAAATGTTGACTTTCCTTGAGGCCTTCCTTTTTCTCTAATTTTGGTCTGCAAACTTAGGTTATTAACCCTCCAGAAGAGAAGCTTACTGTTATTACCATACAACCTAAGCTGTTAAGCTTAACCTCACTGTCTAGATATCAAACATCTTAGGCATAACATGGAACAGGTATTTTTCATCAAGTGTTGACATGTTAAACTTTAAGTCCTTGCAGAATATGATTAAAAAAAACATTTAAAAATTAGAATATATTTTAAAAATAAGCATAAAGAATTATATACTTATTATGTTTACACATAAGTCCAAAAATCTAACCATATACAACCTTGAAGCAGGACAGTCCCACAATATTCCTTTTTCTGTCTCCTGCCTTCATTCACCATCTCCTTCTTTTTGAACAATCATCTACCTTAGAGACAGCACAGCAGCAACTGGCATGTCATGACAAGCAGCCCATATTCAGAAGTGCCAGAATGACAGGCACTCCAAGCACAAACCTACTATTACAAATTGCCATCTTCAGTGCAGTAAGCAGACATGTTTTGAAAGCATGTCTCTAGCCAATGAAAATTACTGGACATAGCCCAGCTCAAAAAATCATTAAAAACCTACTGCTCTCTTTGTTCTGTGAAAAATAAATAAATAAATAATTTTAATCTCTTTATTTTGCTAGGCAGTTAACATGTAATTATATAGTACATTTAACTATATATACACTGTCTTTTTCTTTGAGATTAAATATTGCATATATAGTATATATGTATACTATGTGTATTATATATTACATACAATATATAATACGTAATCTATATGTACTATCCATATATACACTCTACCAGTGTAGGATGGAGGTGCAAATCATGGTGGAGAGGAGACATGCAAGCAACACTATAGATTAAATCATTTGAATAATTAGATACCAAACTGTGAATAATAATCTTAAACTCTTTATATATGATGAAAGTCATAAAATCAATACCCTACGCTTTTTTTGTTACCATCAAATCAGAGGTTATAGAACATGTATCTATCAGACAGCACATAAATCGAAGGTGCACTTAAGAAAGACGTTGGTTAGTGATGGGGGCCTGTAAAGTAAGTACATCAGAGTCAAAGATCTTTAGACTAAATAAGGAATGACCTCAAAGGGTCTGATGACCTATTCCAGTACAGTTACTTAATCTGGAAAATCTTCAGCTTTCTTTTTGTTATTAGAAATAATTCAGTTTTCCTTATCTGTGTGAAAATTAATGGAGATAATATTAAATAAATAAAATGCCAGGAACAGAGGGAATATTTATCAAATATTAGTTACTCTTTATCTTCCAACTTCAAGTGTTTAGTGTTATCATATGAAAATTTAATTTTATTTGTTGTGATTACAGGTTAAAATGTGTTAATTATTCAATTATAAGCTAAACTACAGGCTACATAAATATCTCAGTAGAGTTTTCTATCACAATGAAAAATAGAATCTATCTTTCCACTCCTGAAGCTATGGAAGTTGGTATTTCTTATAGGCTGCAGGAAGTAATTTTTCAAGGCTAAGGTTAGTTTCATATCTGAGGTAAGGTATTGCGCTATGTGTATAGAACAGACATCTTATGACCACAGTAAACAACTGAGTTGTCTCATCAGACTATTTTTAACACCCATTGTTATCCTAGATTGAAATATTTTTTCTTCTTTCAAAGTAATCTGTGCCTAATTTGCTAAAATCTCTGCTTACATTGATTTTGCTAGTTTTTGTTTTTCTTTTATATATGAGATAGAGTAGGCATTTTTTCTGTGCATTTTGCCCTTCAGACAGCTATATGGGATTAATAATGTATAAAAACTTGCTGTTTAATGTAGCATTGTACAGGGTATTAATCTATAAAGGCTGTCACAAATATGGTAGGAATTAGTAAACAAGCACACGCTGAGATCTCAGCTTCACTTATGCTCGCATGTGGGAGGCTGAGGCAAGAGGACCACAAATTTAATCCCAGCTTATACAAGTTAGTGATGTGGTGAGACTCTATATCAAAATTTTAAAAAGGCTAGGAATGCTGCTCAGTGTGAGAACGGCAGGCTCAACCCCTGATACTGAAAAGAAAGTGTATGTAGCCTGTGAGTATTGAACTAAGAGAACACAGAATAGGCCCATGGCTTTAAAACATGCCTGTTAGAGCCTGGGTGTGGTAGCAGAGGCCTGTAATCTCAGCTCTTGTGAGGCTGTAAACAGGATAATCACTACGAGTCAGATTTAGTAGGGGGAATCTGAACATCGTGTAGAGACTTCCTTCAAAAATACAGGAAGTAAAGCCATGCTGTTAAGTTGAGCTGTGGGGGACTCAGGTCAATAATTTCTGACATTGCCAGTTAAATATAAGACCCAATGCTATTATAGGCTACTGGACTCTTTTAGAATATTTTGCTGAGTTTACACACCTATAATATTCAATAATGTAACTTAGAAATAATGGGGTATACCGATGAATGTCCATTTTGTATCTGTGTATTCAAAGTGGTTAGGATAGATATATAGTTGCATTCTCTTAATGAATAGAATGATTTGTTCTAATGGTGTTTGTGAATAGGATCACAAGTCCGCATCTTGTACAGCAATTAACCACTAAGAAGAATATATGCAGTGTATTATTTGTTGAAACTGTCCTTCCGATTTGATTTGAAACTGTCTCATTGCTATCTCTTTGTCAATAAAACTTTGAGAAAAAAAATACAGAAAAAAATATGCATTTTAATATTGGGAACCTGAATGACTACTTTTGCCCAAAATATCATCCCCATCCCCAGAAAATAATCTTCATCATAGATAAATCACTTGGAAAACAAGCAATGTTCTTTGGGCAGAAGCATAAGCAAATGAAAACGTGTTATAAAATGATTCTTCAAATAAGCATATATTGTACATGTATTCATGTATTTCCTCATTATCTTGTGAAATATTTATATCTCAATTTTCATCTATTTGGTATGTATTCCAAGACCTGGAATTCTGAAGTTGCAAGGAATGCTGAGATTTGGGCAAAGAAGTGCCGCTTTAGTCACAGTCCTGTAAATCAACGAAAAACTGCCTGTAAGTCAAATTTATCCAGTGAACAATGTTATGAAAGCTGAATTAATTAAAAACCTTTGAAATACTAAGCTTGGGAGTGATGTTCTTAGGCTTGCTTATTGGCTTTTCTCCATTACTTTACTTGTCCTCTTGTATTTTCCTTCCCCCTCTGTTTTCTTGTTTGAAACTCTTGTCCCAAGAGTTCATTCCTCTTCCTACTCCAAGTCCCATGTTATAGTGGGTCTGGAGAAGTGGCACAGCAAAAACAAAATTTAAGTATTTTTCTGAACTTGAATTCATTCAGGTGCTAGTCATTCATAGCAGCCTCGTGCCAAGTCTAAATGTTCCCCCATTTAACATTTTAGAGCCAAACCATTGAACATTTCACCCAGACCTTGAGCTCCTAGGGAAAAGTAACCATCTCTTACAATAATGTTCCACAGCACAAAAATACAGATACTGAATAGGGTAATGGTGAATTAATTCTTTTCCTGCATTCCAAGCATGCAGCAGCCTGCATTTCACCTGCCCACTCTACTACACCTGCCTTGCCATTTTTATTAAGATCCGATCAGCCTGTTCATTGCCAAAGGCATGCCACTGTTGCCTCTACATCCATGAGTTGAACTCTACTACTGTCCCACTACACAGTCCCATATGGATTTTTCAGCTTCCTTCTGTTCTGCTTTCTGTCTCTGCACATGTGCCTTCTATTTCCCAGCTTAAAAGCCAAAGCTCCAAAGTCATATTGATGCTTCATGTTTTAATTATGCCCTAACTGTATGCTGGGTAGGTATAAAAATATTCATCTTCAATTAGCTGAATGTGAATATTTATCAGTATTACCAAAATGACAACCATGACTTAATTAAGCTCCACAATGTTTGAAAATGAATCATTAATTACATCTTAAACGAGTTATTCGTAAGCTGAGGTGGGAAGCAAGTGATGGCAGTGAACAGGGTAAAGTTGTAGAAATTGATCCATGCCTGTCTGTTCAGGATGTCTGTACCTCTTTGGAAAGTAATGCTGGTCAAAAGCTTTGATATTTTGGTAGTTTTCAACAGTAATTCTTCACAAGTACTGGCTTCACTATTGTTTCCTTGCCTTTTCTAATTTTTAGTATCTGGCTGTGGAGAGAATTACTTTTGGTCCACTGATCCTAAACCATGGCCCTATGTCATCAAATCTTTCTATGACGAAGTGAAAGACTTCCAGTTTGGAGTAGGAAATACTCGCAAGGATGCTCAAATTGGCCATTATACCCAGGTAAAAATCAAATGACAAAAGCCTCATTTTTTCCTCTTCCACCAGCCCAGCCTTGACCTTACTTCCTCAGTGACTTTGCATCTGAGTGACGAGATCTGAGCTGGAAGTAGGAGAACCCCTCTGCACTGTGAAGTGTGTTTTTCTCATCCATAGAATAAGTGCATATTATTATTGCTTGTGCATTCACACACCCCAGCCTGGCCCTGTAACTCTGGATTTACCAAACTAGGTTCTGGTAACTACCCTGAGAATAAATAGATTAAGGTAATAGATTAATTGCCATTTTAAGAACACTGAACCATTTTTTAAACAAAAGAAAACCCAGTGATGCTTTCTCTGGGTCAGTCAAAGGATGAAATTTTAAAGAAAACAAATTTAATTTTTTTTTAAGAAAAGAAAACCAGAGGCCAGAGAGATGACTCAGTAGAATAAGCGCTTCCCTGGCAAGTGCAAGGGCCTGAGTTCAATCCCCTGTTCCACCATAGGAAAAAAAAAAAAGAAAAGAAAACCAATAAAGTGATATGACTTTATACATGCAAGTTATTTTTACATCTTTTTTTTGTATTTTTAGCTAAAATTAAGTTAGTTATATTGTATAAATGAATATTATATGCAGAAAAGCCACAAGGTCAACAAAATTCTCTCTTGCTTTTTCCTTCAAAAATTGAACTGTACGGAGGTTCCTTTCCTCTGCGTCTAATACCCCATTGTTACATCTTTATGAATTCTAGGGATGACTCACCATTTTAACAAATGTAACATAAATGTATAAAGCAGTTATTATTATTTTTTTTGTACCAAGGATCAAACTCAGGACCTTGCACTTGCCAAGCAGGGACTTATACAGTAGCAGGCTTTAACTTTTAAGTGAAGCCCCACACCTAGAAATAATTTTTAATGAATTTTCATTATTTAGATATCAATGTTAAAAATATGAAGGCAATATTTTTCAGTTTTTAAATTGCCATCACTGATAGCTTTTAATTAGAAAATGAGAAGCACACAGCTACATACACATAAACGATTTCGCTTTCCATTCTCCGCCTGCAGCTTGTCTGGGCCTCTTCCCACCAGCTTGGCTGCGCCATGGCCCCCTGTCCTCCTCACCAGACGAGGAGGTATTTCTATGTCTGCCATTACTGCCCCATGTAAGTATAGCACAGGGATCTCTTCTGGCCACGACACGTGCGTGTGGGCGAGGACCCAACCAGGTGTCCTGGAGTGCTGGGGGAACCTCACCGGGCTTCAGGGGAAAAGTAGGGCAGGCCCAGCCTTGTGTCCCAAGGAGGAGGGCCGTGGGGTCGGAGTGCCGGTGGGGGGCCTGGCCCTGTGGACCACAGACTCAGGACAGCATCAGCTTCGTTGCGGAGTGACTGGGCGGCGTTCAGTTCACCAAGAACTCACTCGGGACGCCCTTCTCACTGGCCTGCGAAGCAGCAAGGGCCCCGATTTTCTTTCAGGGGCTTTTGCGAGGATTAAACATAATAGGGTGTTATGTGGTCAGCACTCTGGGCACGTGAATAGGTTCTCAATAGAAGAAAATCCTTCTAACAAGAAAGTGAAAATATAAGAACCTCCTAGAGTTGTGGACTGCGGGTTCCGTGGCCCTTTGTCTGCCGTGTAGGTGGGCATGGGGGTGTTAGCAATTCAAACGCTCACGAGACTGAGGCAGGACCACTCTGAAGCTGAGCCCAGCCTGGGCACCAGAATAAAGCCCTGTCTCAGAAAGAACAAAGGAGATCTTGCAGCATCAACTCCTGTCTCCTGTGTGTATTTAACCCTGCACAATGCACCTGGAAATCGTGACGCTGTAACCTACAGAAATCTTTTCAGTTCTTTGTCTTTTCCTTTCTTCAGCTCAGATAACTCTTCCGTACCCGTTCACATGGCACATGCTTATAATGTTATTTTTAATCCTTTCCTCCAAATGTTCTATTGCCAGGGGAAATATAGACAAAAAAATGAATACGCCGTATCAATTAGGACGGCCGTGTGCGGACTGCCCTGGTCACTGTGACAACGGACTGTGCAGTAAGTACTCCCTAATTGATATCCTTTCGTGGTGGTATCTCCACGGAGACAGACCTACCTGAAGTGTAGTTCAGTCTCTGCTTTGAGGTACATAGGTCTCGTCTTCTTCTGGGTCCCCACTTTCCTACTGTAGACAACAAAAACATAAAGACAGTGGAATGGCAAGGGCAGCTGCCACTTGAGGATCGTAAGGACTACAGTAAGAAAGACAAAGCAGTCATCACGCAGCCCAAGTGAAGATGAAGTTCCTCTTTCGCTTCTTTCAGTCTCTTCCATGGATTGTTTCCTGCCAGTCAGCTAACAGAGGTTGTAGAACAGAAACTAACCAGATCATCTTCTTGGATAGAGTCAGACTTGCTTGCTCCTGACCCTAAATCCAAGCCAGGCAATGCATGAAGAAAGAAAATGCTTTGTGGCATTCTTTCTGGTGTGCCTACTCCTTTCTGTACCTCTATAACATTGCACACACACACACACACACACACACACACACACACACACTCAATCAAATCCATGACTGGATCCCTCACTAGCAGCTGCACATTATGCTTAGGAAGAAAGCTCTCTAAAACGCAGACTAGGGTCGGGAGATAGATCAGCAGTCCAAGTGCTTGCCTGCTATACGCAGGGACCTGAGTTCGATCCCCAGAACCACATGCTGTGCCAGCCCCAGAATCTCGTCCACACTGTGCTGGCTGTGAACCCAGGCGTGTTGGTCGCTTCTGTAATACCAGTGCTGGGGAGGCTGAGACAGGATGATCACTACCAGGCTGAACTGCATAGCAAGTCCCTGTACAAAATCATAAATAAATAAACAAATATTTTTAAAAGTATATTTAGTACAGGGTCTATAGGGTCTCATTACACAGATAGGACTGGTAGTGACCCTCCTGTTTTCAGCCTCCCAAGCACTGGGATTACAGGCATGTGTCACCATGCCCTGTCTCATTCGCCGTGTCAGCATGCCCTAGAGGCAGGACCAGTGTGACATGAGGGGGATCGAACCCTAGTCCCTGAGTCTGCCTAAGCAGGTGCTTTAATCCACTGAGCTATCTGGCCAGCCCACAAAAATATTTTAAAATGTGGACTATTTTAAGTAGCACATATGTTGGCTTTTCAGTCACTCTTCTATGAAGCCTTATAAGCTACCCGCACAGAATCACTGCTACCATGGGGTGCTTCTCCTTGGTGTGCTTGCGGTTGTGCTCCTGGGTACTTGGTTGTCAAATGGGTTTTGAGCTGGATCTCCACTTCTTATTCATGCCCCTGTCCTTGGTATGATTCCATTGTACAAACATAAGACTGCACGTACACACGCATTTGGAATTAGATTATTTTCCTCACTGCAAACCTTGACAGACTAGGGAAATGTTTTTGGTTTCTTAAAGAGTTCTGTGTTATGAGAACCCAGTAGCTGCCACATCAGGGATGTCTGATTAAGGCAGTGGTAACAAACCTACAGGCACCTGTGTTGTTGTGTTGTTCTTTTAAGATGAAAGATGTGAATGTGTGAGTTGATTTTTTTCTAACCTAAAACCTCGGTCCTCAGGTTCATTGCCAGCCCATCACACGCACTTTGCGATGAAGACATGAGTTTGGGGTTGTGGTTTGCCACCCAGTCACTGAAAGCTTCGCCATCACTAATATAAGGACTGTTTAATAACAGTCTACGCCCAGTTCCACTTGTGTTTAAAAGGAGTCTTAGATTAAAGAATACGAACAGTGAATGGGTTTTCCCTGAGAAAATATAGTTTGGGGTAACTAGAACTATAATAAACACAGTTTCATTTTTGTTTTGTTTTGTTTTAGCCAACCCTTGCAAGTATGTGGATCGTTACAGCAATTGTGCTGAGCTGGTCAAAAAAATGGGGTGTGCTGCAAAAATCACAAGAAAAGACTGCAAAGCTACCTGCGAGTGCCCTTCCGAAATAAAATAACGCATCTTCACAGGCTGTTATTTAGTGCCAAGAATAAAGCGATGGGTCTTGAATCACTGCAAATTTCATTGTCTTCTTTTAAACAAGCACTCGGTTTGAAGCAGTGTTTTATTCAATACATTCTAACACCACCTTCAGTTAGATTTGGTAATCTCTAGTGAAGAACAGTGAGTTCTTCAGAAAACTCATTACCTGTGAGCAACAGAGGAACATAGAATTGAAGTCTTTAGTTATCACAACTGATGGAGCACGAATTCATACCTTTAAAAGTTTGTGTACTCATGAATAAATATTTTCAAAACTTTTAAAACAAAAGCCTCAGGAATCCTGTCCTTTTCTGTGGCATAAGCATGTGCCAGTGACAGTGTAGCAGCCCACAAGCTGAAGACAGCACGAGTTTCCTGATCTTAGTGGTGGTAAAACATTGACATATACCTAGCCATTTGGGCAGAAATGGGAAAGAAGGTTCTAGAAATGATCATGGACACTTACTGTGGCTGTTGTTCCTAAATCGACGCATAGTTTTAAGCCTCTCAAGTGAGAGAAAGACTGAGTGCCTAGCAAGCATCCTAATGCTATACTCAAGAGTTTCTGGGGCCACAGATAAAGATACCAGACACTGGAAAGGGAGAAAACATTGCTGTGGTTTATTGCATACTGAAAAGAGCGTGGACCTGAGGGCCTGAAGCTGCACCGTAGCACACAGACTGGAGTGCAGCCTTCTCCAGCAGGCCGTGGAGCAGGGCATCGGACATTCGCTCCAGGAGATCTTCGGCCGGTGCCTTGCAGTTCCAAACTGTAGAGTAGAAATAAATATGCTTTTAATTCTCAGAATCCCCCACTGCCTTCCTTGTCTCCCCATGCTGAAGCAGGATACCCACACCCAAAGTTAAATGAGGAGAAGCTCAGCTAGTTCACTGTTCACAGAGGTTTCAGGGCAGGAGCAGCTGGCTGTAAAGCAGGGTTGGGCGGGGCACAGTGGCACCTGCTCCCGTGGTGGGAGACAGTAAAAGCCACAACAGCAGAAGAGAAAAGCAAGCCGCTTCTCCTTCCTTACGCTGTATGTAGGTTATCCACCCTAGCGTAGGTGTAGCACCCACACCCAAATGCCGTCACTAGACAATGAACCAATCACAAACTTTAGATTTGCCATCTCTGAAAAGCCCAAGACCAACGCTGCATGAGGCTTTGGGGACATCCGGACACAAAGCATAACAGCCACACTAGAGCTCTGACTTTGATAAGAACTTTCATGGTAAGAAGGGCTTGCGCACTTGCTCCAGAACACCCGTGGCCCACTATCAAGATCAAATCAAAACTAAATTCTCACACCTTGGGCACTGCAGGGACGGCTGTTCCAATCGAGAGGTTACACTTTCATGGGTATCAATTATAAACACACCCCTATTTAACATGTTGGTAGAAAAGCAAGATGTGTTATGCATAAATACTCTAGACTATCACAAATTCTGTAAAATGATCCACATCTGTGATTTAAGATACCCTTGATAAGCCAGGCGTGGGGACACATATCTGCAATGGCAGCGCTCTGAGAGGCTGAAGCAGGGGAGCTCTCAAGTTGGACTCCAGCCTGGACCACTGAGCAACTTATACTCACAAATAAATGAATGATAATAAATAAATAAATAGGGCTGGGGATACAGTTCTGTGCAAAGGCCCCGGATCAATCCCAGCACCACTAAAACATAGAATCTTTGCTCGAGCAACCTGACATATGTGCTACTACTAGGAATATTTCTCGTGCCTTATAATAATGCAAATGCAACCAGCAACAATGCTCAGAAGGTGTTTTTTCATATGATGAAGAAAATAGTGGGCTTTTATACCTAGTCTACTCTCCCTACACTCGTTCTGCTAGCATCTATCTCCTCTTTCTGGATTCATAATCCCTTATTGATACACAAAAGTGTACCACATTATTGGCGCAACAGCTTCAATGTGGAGAACATGATAGCCACATAGTAGAGGGTGCTATTTTTCTAATGATGTTAGTGAACATAATAAGGTTTTGTGCAGAGTAGACGCTACAGACTTCAACATAACAAAACCCCGTGTATGCACCCCAAAGCTTAGCAGTAAAACATCAGATTGGAAGGCCCTACGAGTCAGATCTTCCTTTGTCTTCTTTCCTTTGTTCCCAGCATATCTGGGAACGTTAGTGCAGTTTTTCCTACATGTCTCTGCACATATTTAGTATTGTCTTTTTACATTGTCCATCTCCAGATAAATGCTGGCTTATTGCAACTTACTTTTAGAGACTGTTTAGCCACCATGATATCATCAGGGCTTCAGCCTTTCTTTCATACAAGAATTAAGTTATATTTTCTAATGGAGTTTCTATATTAATTTTTATATATTCATTCTTCTGTTTGTAAATGTAAGATTGCAAGCAACTTTTCACTGTTGAAATTAGTACTATAATAAATATCTTATACCTACCTGAGGAAACGTGTGCCTGTATTCTCTGCATCTAAGAGAACTGGACCAAAGATAATTTGTATTTTTGTCTTAATGGAAAGTACCTAAACATCCTGCAAAATAACAGGACAAATTTATACCTCCTACAGTAGGGAAGGAGATCTGCAGTTCTTCCATAACCTTGAAATGCCTGCTGGTATTCTAGTTTCAAATTTTCCCCACCGTGGTATAATTCTGGAATCTTCGTTTATGAGATTGTGGATGTTTTCCTGTGTTCCTGGTCTGTTTGGTACTTGCACTTCAGTAGTCTTTCTGTTCTCATTGCCTCGTTCTACGGATGGCAGCCCTGTAGCGGGAGGGGCTTGTGGCTTTCTTAATAATTTAAAGCTCTTTATACATTGGGGATCATGATTCTTTGTAATTTTTGGCTTCTGTATCTTGTCTGCTTGTCTCTACGTTCTATTAAGTTTCTTAGTACCATTTAGATATCCATAATGATCATATTCACCATAGAGAATTTGTACCTGTACAAAATGTATTTTGATTCCCCCTTTTTCTAACCCTTTCTCCTCCTCTCAACTTCTCTCGCCTCCTCATTGATAGAGCTTTGCTTCCACTTCATCCTTCTTTTCTCATTTTTTTCTTTCCATATCCTTTCCCATTCCCCATCCCTAGTTCTCCTTTCCTTTTGAAAGTTTCTTCTTATTTTGACTTTTTAAGACTTTAATTTTTTCTTAGTGTTCAGTTTTTTACATGATGGATTTGGGTTTAAAGAACTCAAAATTTTGACATAATAAATTCATTATTTTTTGTTTCTTAAGCAGCCCTTCCTAAAATTAATTGGTGAATTACTCTATTTCCTTTTCTATGTATTAAAAGTCTTACTTTCCAAAGAATACAGGTAGAATTTTATTTTGTTGTTGGTGTTGTTTATTTAACCCAGAGTAGTGAGTATCAGGGTAGCTAGCTTCTCACCATCCACCAGCCACTCCAAAGAACTTCTCAAGCCCGAACTTAAGTTCTGGGAAATTATAGCTTTGAAAACTTCCTCTCCTGTTTTTAATTTTTGTCTCCCAAATATTCAGAAGTTAGGCCCCTTGACTATTCCTCTTTTTTCTCCTTACCCTTTTCTCCCACCTGACATTTCCTTTATGAGTGTTCTCCTTGGAGACAGATTTCAACTTCTTTTTCTAAGTGTCCTATTAATCTTTATATTGCTTGCTGCCATAATCTTTATTTATAAAAGTTTTTGTCCTACTTATATCCTTTTCAGCATCCTACTCTTCTCTGATCATGTCTTATCCTTATAGAGTCTAGCAGTGGAGAAGCTCAAAAGGACCTTTATATCAGTCTTAATTTTTTCTTCACTTTCTCGTTCTGTACCTATACCCTCCAAGTTACTTTCCTGTTTTGTTTCGATTCAAATGGTGTCAGAAGATTTCATCAAATGCATGATGACTCTGATTGCTCCTTCCTAAAAGAATGTGGGACACAAAAATGTAGAACAGATTCTTGGTGTGCACAGGTACAGCTGCTTGACAGGAAAGCATCATACCAGAGTAGTTTGGCAAGAACTCACCTACATAACTGGAAGATTGCTATCTGCTAATTTATATAGATGTTTTTGCTGCTCAATTTATCCTGAAAGAAACCTTTCAAACCTGTGACTTCAGAGTACAAATCACATTGTACAATAGTTGGAATTGATTTGAGGAAGATAAATAGAAGTTTAGATGTTCATTCAGTTCTTGGGTTCTTAATAAGCCATCGTCTTTCCTCCAGCCATGCTTGATATTTTGGAAACTTGCCTAAGTCTTAGTTTAACCAGGCCAAGGAGCAAAGCTTTAGTTTGCATGGAGGAGGAAAAAGTCTCCTATAGCCTCAGAAAAGAGGAATTACTTTAAATGCTTCTAAAGGAGACTTTCAACTCCTACTGAAAATTCCTTTCCTCCTCTATAATTTCAGAGGTACTTGGTGCAAATAATGGCTGAGACTTTTTTGTGTTCTGTGTTATGATTCAGCCACTCTCATCTCTCCTCATTATTAGGGCTCATGAGGCAATTGTGCAGTAATGTTAGGGTTTAGATTTTAAAATCACTTATGCATGTAGTTGGCGAGAAATGTGTTTTCATTAGAAAATTTCTGGATACATTTCTATAATTACCTCCATCTTGGATGCAAACTGCTTGATTATCAAGATGAAGTGAGACCTACTGCCTAGCTTACCAAAAAGTACGTATGAAACTATTTGGACCGGTGCTTTGCGTAACCTGTATATATCTGTTATTCAAAAAATGTTGGCTATTTTCCTTGTTCTAATTTCACTTCTTAGAATTTGTGCTAAATGAATAGTTGTTCTAAAACAATACATGTAAAAAAACTTTTAAAATCATTAATATTCATAAACACTAAGTATATAATAACAGAACTTTAAAAATAAATTAAGAATGTTACAGATTTCTATACAGAATTAGACATACATTTATGAAATTGTAGATTCCAGTTTTTAGTGTATACTGGTAGTCCCATAATTCTGTGGTTAACACAGCATCTATTGTGGGGAGTGGCTGAAGCTAGAAGTCAGTCATGTGTGTGAGGACA